ATATATATATATATATATATATATATATATATATATACATAACCGTATTTAAATCGTGCTATAATTAATAAGCATTCCGCAAGACCTGTTTATTTAAACGTGTAGATATTTTGCACCTAATGCCATGTCAAAAATATGAGGCAATGTGTCCGCACCATCCGTGGAAATGCATGCTATGCGTACTTTTACAAGCATGCATGCTGACTAAAAATGAGTGAATGAAGGAAAATGCAAGTTATCAACATTAACCACATAACCAATCACTGTTTTGGCAGTCTTAGACGTGGAAAGAATTGGTACACATCGTGCTGTGGCCATTTCCTCCTGTGGGCGGAAAGTGAACAGCATTAAATCAAGAAATTTAGAGCGAGCATGGAGATAGATGGATTGGGTTTAGACTAGCCAAATCAAATCGAACTGGATCCTGAAGATCCATGACGTGAAAAACTCAAGATGTTTGTAAAATGATGGTGGTGAAGAAATGATACCATACCCCAAGCACAGTTCAGATAAGCGCAGCAAATGGAAAAGGTTTGTAAGCCCTTAGGCCGGACTTTTGTATTTGAGGCTCTTGAAAAAGTTAAGGATTAACGTGCACTTAACATTAGATCATACCTATAGTAAGAACCATCACCACTGGGTATTAGGCACAAATGTGTGCAGCGTTGCAAGACTGACAGATGAACATGCTCGTAGTCGAACAAATCCAGATTATAAGGGCAGGGCCAAGGTGTGAGTGAGTAAAGTCAAGGTCCCAGCGATACCAAAATATGCAGCCGATTATGTCTGATGCGCAACTAAGTTGTTTTATTCTGGCATTACCACAAAAGTTGTAAAGGGTGGAAACATAACAACAAATAGCTAACGGATGCAAATCTAACAAGGATCACACGCATATTCCTACTTGGCGACAGACAATTTAAGTCGCTTTTTAAGACACACCACACATTTTTCATGAAAAAGTACCTGGGGGGTAGGGAGGAGAGAGGGGGGGGGGGGCAGTGGTAGCAAAAATGCGTGTTCAAAACAAGACTGGGCGTGCCCCTTGGCATATGGGTTTGGGTACTAAAGTGGCCAAACAAATACGGATGCAGAAGCTTCGGATATATGAGATGATATTCTCTTCTTGCTGGGGGAGTGATAGCCGAGTGGTTAGCGCCTTTGGCTCCCACGCGATTCCTGGCTCTATGGCGAGTAAAGAATTAAAACGAGTATCCATACTGCGTGGAGATTAGGGTGCTGTGCGCCACTTTACCTGCATTCCAAGACTTCGTGAAGCTCTGAAATGGTCCGTTCATTTTTCTGGGGAGTCCGTGTTTCTTCATGTTACCATCTTCATTTCAGCCATATGATTCACTACCACAATATTGCTTGATATGATCGACTCACAGCTCGGCGTATGAAATTTACGAGGAATGTAACTCAGCTCATGACTGAGAGCTGCCACTCTCCAGACGAGTCAACACAACTCATGACTCAGCTCATAACGATCGACTCATTAGCCGATTCATGATTCAGCTCGTGACGATCCCAAGTCTGCACATAAATGGATCAACCAGCACGGAGGTCAATAGGGATTCTGGAAAACCCGTGTTTGAGTTACTGAGATTACCGATAAATTCTGTTGAACATGGCACATGTTATATTCCCTTTAAAGAGAGGGCCCAGGGTCTCCCTGGGGGTTTGAACAGAAATAGCCAGCTTGAAGATCATTCGGAGCCGTTCGCAGCCCTGCATTTCTTGAGACCCAAACCTCTCTAGCTTCTGAACTGAACTGAACGCCCGCGAAGTTGTGCAGACTATTTCGTGCAGACCATTTCGAAGCCACGCAGGTATTCATGACGCCATAAAAAACGTCATTCAAATCCTGTCATTCCATTGGCCATGCAGCGATAAAGGCCGGGACAAGTATCATTGTCGAGTCGCTCATATCTGGCGCTCGTGAGCAAGCTTTTGAAGATAAAGCGGCCGTCAATTGGCCCTCAATCACCTGTTTTGCAAGGTACGATGCCACGATCAAATACTGACGCATTAGGAAGCATATTCACTAAATATATTTGTTTTAATTGCTGCCTGGGCATTTTAAGGCACCAATGACAATGTTTGTGAAAGCGCCGTCTCCTGGCATGTGAGGTATGATGTAGTATTTAATTGAAGACCAAAGCCTTTTGTCAGCTTCGGTTTAAGCTCCCAAATGTGCATGTTCCTATTGATGCGTAATGTAGCCCACCAATACCACTCAGGATAGACCAGTTTGCACTGCATCACTTTTGTTGCAATGTCATGCACTGCCATTTGTTAAGGTCTATTCAGAAGGAAAACACGCCAGTGCCTGCATACCGTAATAAATGCACGGTGCTTTATTTGTTGACACCATTGTAAGAACGCTGGTTTGATGGCAAATACCCAGCAATTTTCTGACGGTGTCTGTTGAACGTATGCCAGTCTTCCAATGGTCAAATGTTCCGTGTCAAGAAAAGATACCATACGACCCTCGTCGTTATGCGCCTCAAGTTGCATTGCTTGCTCAGGCTTCCTTGTTATTGGACTAACGCTGGAAACGACTTGGTCGGACGTCGCACGATAAACCATGCCGGCAAATGTGATTGGCCAGGGGTTCAAATCAATTTTTCCTGGCTCATTGGCTCTAAAAATCGGCGATGCTTTCCGAAGTCTATGGAGGGGGTATGTGTGGTTCACAAGTGTTTTTTGGTGGTAGATTTTGACTGCTGAATAGCTGAATCCGATGTGTGGATGAAGGCACAGAGAGAGAGAGAGAGAGAGAGAGAGAGAGAGAGAGAGAGAGAGAGAGAGAGAGAGAGAGAGAGAGAGAGAGAGAGATA